GCAAAAGATATGAAAATAATAATAATAAAGATATGCAGCAAAAGATATGAAAAAGAAAGCCAAGGATAAAGCCCTTGAACAGATGAAACAACGCTGGCAAGACAAACCTCTGCATGGCCAATATCCAGAACGTGCAAATAAACCCAATGTTGATAAAGTTAATACTCATCGATGGTTACGAGCATCTGGATTAAAGTCTGAAACTGAAGGCTTTATTCTTGCAGCGCAAGACCAGAGTCTTTTCACTAGGAATTTTCAGGCAAATATCATACATAATAATGTGGATCCAAAATGCAGGTTCTGTGACAAATACCAAGAAACAATAGACCATCTAATCTCAGGATGTTCTATACTTGCCCCAAATGAATATAAAAATCGACACGATAGAGTGGGGCAATACTTACACTGGACAATGTGCAAACACTTTGGAAAAATGTAAGCAAACACTGGTATGAACATCGGCCAGCGCCGGTTACAGAAATAGAAGATGTCACCATTCTATGGGATTATACCATCCACACAGACAGAAAAATTGAAGCAAATAGGCCGGACATTATTGTCAAAACCAGAAAGAAAAAAACTTGCCTACTAATTGATATGGCTTGTCCAGCGGATTGTAAACATAGCAACCAAGGAATTTGAAAACTATCAAAATACAAAGACCTGGAAATTGAAATAGAAAAATGTGGAAATTGAAAACAAGAATAATACCAGTGGTAATAGGTGCACTTGGAATTATAAAAAATGGAACAAAACAACACATTGAAAGAATCCCTGAAACCCCAGCTTAAGAGACATACAGAAAATTGTCTTATTAAGTACAGCACACACACTAAGGAGAACTTTGTCTATGTAACGCTAGCAACTTCATCGGATAAAAAAAAAAAAAAAAAAAAAAAAAAAATTAACATGAAATGGCCATAACAACACACCACGACCTGCCTTAGGTCTTTCCGCAGACTTGGTAGGTAGTATGTCCATAGCAGAAATCGAATGATGATGATAATAATAATAATAATAATAATGATAATAATGATGATGATAATAATAATAATGAAGATATTCAAAAAGTTGTCAAAGTACAAGGACCTTGAAATAGAAATCTCGAAAATGTGGCATATGGGAACATCAACAATCCCTGTTGTAGTTGGAGCCCTAGGACTGGTTGGAAAAGATTGCAGTAGACTAATTGAAGGGATTCCTGGAAGTCCATGCCTCAAGGAGATACAAAAAATTGTTCTGACAAGTACAGCCCACACCTTACGAAGGGCTTTATCTATGTAATTTAATTTTTTTTTTTTTTTTTGTCAGTGGAAAGTGTCATGACGCCATTTCTAACCTTAGGTCCCTGGGCGGGACCCGGAAAGAAATGTGTAAACGCCAGAAATCAAAGAAAATAAAAATAATAATAATAATAATAATAATGATAATAATGATAATAATAATAATGATGATGATAATAATAATAATGATGATGATAATAATAATAATAGTGATGATGATGATGATGATGATAATAATAGTAATAATAGTGATGATGATGATGATGATGATAATAATAGTAATAATGATGATGATGATGATGATGATGATGATGATGATGATGATGATGATGATGATAGTAATAATAGTGATGATGATGATGATGATGATGATAATAATAGTAATAATAGTGATGATGATGATGATGATGATAATAATAGTAATAATAGTGATGATGATGATGATGATGATGATAATAATAGTAATAATAGTGATGATGATGATGATGATGATAATAATAGTAATAATAGTGATGATGATGATGATGATAATAATAGTAATAATTGTGATGATGATGATGATGATGATAATAATAATATCTAATTTAATTTTTTATTCTATCAAGAGAAGCCTAGACGTTTTCCAGTACACACACTCTTCCCTTAAAGTAGACTGAACAGATGCTCTTTTATGTAAATTTCTAACCAGCCGATGACGTGGCAGCAATTTATTGGATACAAGGTTTTAAAACTTGATTATGTCGACCTGCTGAGTTTCTGTTCGTGACTTAGTATAGAAAAAAAAAAAGGTTATTTAAGTGACGGCATAATAGTTGGTTGCCATACGGGCGGGTTTGACTATTTCGAAACTCCTGATCTACAAGGATGTTCACGCTTGAACCATAACAACAATCGACTTCAACAACAATTGACCTATTAAAGTTTTTTTTTTTTCACGTCACTTTATCAATGGCAATCAGTTTCGCAATTTCCATTTTTATTTTTTTTTTTTTCACAGCCGCGACAAGTTAAACCACGCGCCGCCATAACAAAGGAATATTTGATGCGAATCCAACGACCTTTGGAATGTGCTCAAATTTTAAATCGCCATACATATTTTATATGAACTGAATGCATAATTCAATACCGATGTAGCCATCAAAGTTCTCCACTTTAACGTGAGCTGCCATAAGCGTACAACCGAGCCAAAGACAAACATTGCCCAGACGCTGCAATCAGTCACGCTGTCATCGGTATGCCCCAGCCCTCTATCTTCAGTGCATTGAGGGAGGTGCTGCCACAGGGATGGGATCCCCAGGATCAAGTATTACTTATAACTAAATGAGGTTTTTCGAAACAATCCTAGAGAAAAAACAAAAAACAAAAAAAAACTATATGCTGATTTTTTTATTTTTTTGCATGAAAGTAAAAATGATTTTAAAAACTAAACTACACTTTCAGTCCCTTCACAACATAGATGATCATGGCTTCCTCGGATTCCTTTTCTCTAATATCTGCGAAATGTGCCTTGCTATTACTTGGAAAGATGGTGGAGTGGTTTCTCGTTACTTCTCTACGGTTTCGATACATAGATGCCATTCTTCTCGTCTTGTTGCCTAACTAAGGATATTTATTTTTGTGAAATTAGATGTTGGTTATAATAGACTGAAATCTAGGTTTCACCCCATTTAATGTTGACATAGCTAAAGGCAACCGCTATTTCTGCCCCAACAGTTTCTTTTCTCGCACTTTTCACCTGTGGAATTCCCTTCCGTTTTCTTGCTTCCCTGATAACTACATCTTGACAAATTGAAATGCAACGTCAATAACCATCTTCTGTCTTCTTGAAACCTGTTCATTTTTTGTCCTTTCCTTACTCCTCCGTATTCTCATTCTTATCTTTCACTTTCACTCCCTCGTAAGCCCATGCTTACTAGTGCCAGAAAATTTTTTTCTCTTCAAACTCCATTTTGCACATTTATAAATCTACCATTCGTCCGTGCATTGAATACAGCTGCCATATCTGGTTTGGTGCTCCTACTGTACATTTCGAGACAAACTCCTAAGAAGGATCTGTAATGTAAGAAAATTGGATACTGTTGCCATATCTGGTCTTGTGCTCCTGCTATTTATCTCACTGTTTTTGACAAAACCCTAAGAAGGATCTGTAATGTAAGAAAATTGGATACTGTTGCCATATCTGGTCTTGTGCGCCTGCTATTTATCTCACTGTTTTTGACAAAATCCAAAGAAGGATCTGTAATGTAAGAAAATTGGATACTGTTGCCATATCTGGTCTTGTGCTCCTGCTATTTATCTCACTGTTTTTGACAAAACCCTAAGAAGGATCTGTAATGTAAGAAAATTGGATACTGTTGCCATATCTGGTCTTGTGCTCCTGCTATTTATCTCACTGTTTTTGACAAAATCCAAAGAAGGATCTGTAATGTAGTCGATCCTGACCAGGCTTCTCGACTTCAGTCACTTTGTCAACGGCGTGATGTGCCTTGCTATGTCTTTTCTACAAATATTTTCATGGCAACTGCTTTGACAAGCTTTTTTCTCTGGTAGACCGAATACATGAATTTAAGTGTGTTACTAGATTGGCATCTAGCAACTCCATTCAATGTTGACATAGCTAAATGCAACCGCCACTACTACTCCAAGAGTTTCTCTTTTCATACTTCCCACTCGTGGAAATCCCTCCCGTTTTCTTGCTTCCCCGATAACTACAA